CCCCCCGCGCCCCGCACCCTGCCCCGCAGCAGAAGCCGCAGTCTCATCCACAGCTGAAGTAAGATTTAATTGATCCATTTTCTTTTCTCCTCCACACAGGTTTTGTTGTCGTAATTGTAATTTGGGAGTTATTCTGAAACTCAGAAAAACAGGTACATACGTTCCCAAGTCCAACACGAGGTTAAAATATCTCAAAAAGCTTATTCTCTGTTTATGATTAGTAAGACAGCATCATTAGCTATATCCTAAGCACTGCACAAAATTTCATTTGTTAGCTGTGCAGTTTCTGCCCCGACGAGGCCTGAGAACTCCTCATCCTTCTGGTGTTTGCTTTCTCCTCCTGGCGTCACGGGCTCGTGATCTGGGCGTGCTCTGAGCCCGCGCGCAGAGGAGGAACTCTTATCGGTTTAAACTTTTCACCTCGCAGTTGCTCAGGCCCCAGACAGCAGTTTCCAAGGCCTCGCTCAGAACCGAGGCTGTGTCTCCCCTCACAGCTCGGACCCAGGGAGCAGGAGACACGGGGCAGGTGTTAGCAGACTTGCTGGTTTTCGACGTGGCGACCCTGGCACACGTTGTTGCCGGTGGTCGCAGACACGTGCTACTGGTTGTGGTGAGTACAAAGACGGGAACGTGGTCTTTGTTTCACCCGGGTAACACAGATCCCCTTTTTCCACCCACTCGTTTGCTAACACTGGCGTGAACCAACGCGGAGTCCTCACCTGAGCACAGTTCAGTGGAAAAGATATCTTAGGTGACAATATCCAGGGGACAGTATTTTCCTTGCCTTCCTAGGACAACGTATTTCTTTATTCCATTTTGTAATCATAAAACTCAATTCATCCATTATTTAAATACACATAGAGAATAGGGAGGTCAGTTTTCTTAAGAAAGATGGAAACCGGTTTGTAGTTTGAAGCCTGACTTGTGAGCTTCTGACGTTTAGGAACAGGTACAGAAGAACTGTACCACGTGCTGCTCCCCAGCTTTCTCGCTTCCCTTCAGTTCCCTGCTCTGATCTGGATTGTTTTTTCTCTTCTTCAAATGGGAGAGAATAGTCTCTATTTAAAATAAAATTTGAAAGGAGAAACAGACGTTTTTAAGATGCAAGCCGTAATGAGAGCAGTTTTTCTGACTTCCAAGGCACAGTTGTAGGTCCACACCAAGACTCAGATCTCCTGCCTGTAGGATTAACTCTATCTATTTGCATGTGTATGCTTTGTATTCACCCACATGCTGTTGCCTAACCTGTATGTACATGTTATTAATCAGTGAATAAATATTTAATTAGGCTACTTATTGTGTTACTAATCAAGTCAAGTGCTGCTTCCCACCCTCCCTCTTTCAGTGAGTACAAACAAACATTTATCAGTCTATTCTCATTAACACAACTATAATTTATGAAAAACCTAAAGTGCCTGCAGCACTGTTTGCTGTACATTATTAGTTTAGAGGCAGAGAAGTTGCAAACCGTGAAGAGTACAAGACGATCTGAATAGGAAAAGTGTTTCAGTTTTACTATAGCCAAAACTGAAATCCTGTCATTGGAGTGAGATAAAAATGAAATCAGTTAACTAGTTTTACTAATGCGTGGACGTATTCATGGAAGGATTATAACTCATTAATGTTTTCTGTTTAAATTCAAGCCTACTTTTTAAATATTATTTTATCTGACAAGTCATGAGTTAAAGTTTTAGATTTCAGACATTTTCCTTCTTGTATGTTATTTTATTCATGCTTACAGAGACTTATACTGTAGTTCCATGATGGCACTAGAAACAGAGGAACGTTGCTAGTCTGCTTATAGACAAGAAAATTTATATCTGATTTGGGGACTTTTTTTAGGATGTAAAGTGTCGTTAAGCCTCCATTAACAATCAAGTGAGAGAGAGAGAGCACATTACAACTTTAGGATTCATCCAATATACCTAATTTTTCCTTGCACGTAACTGTTTGCCGCCGTAACAAGCCCAGTTGTTCATCATCCTGTGTTGGGTGGTGACTGGGATATAGCAGGCAGGCCCACTTTTTCCTCAATTTCTGATTTACATCATCCAATTTACTTGGAATACAAGGTTTCAGATGTGTAAAAAAAGCAGTGTGTTCTCTAACGAAGAAGATGATCCTGCTTCTCCAATCAAAGTGCAGAAGAAATGTGCTGCATTGGAGCAGCTCTGTGTGCTGCATCTAACCACATTGCTTGTGTTGACTGTCCATTTTGATGTGCAAACCGTCTGCATCTCATGGACACACTTCCTTTTCTCATTGTTTGTACGAGTTATAGGCGGGTGGAAGCTGGTAGGCAATATGACCATACAAAACCTCTTGCATTTTTGTCTTGCAGCAAGTCGCAGTCTTTGACAAATGCCTTCAGTTTCACAGAATCATCCTTCCTCCTGTCATCTGTGAATGAAGATGAAGCAAAAGCTGAAACGATTCGAAACTTGAGGAAATCCTTCGCTAGTCTTTTTTCTGATTAGCCAGCTTCATCTAAATGCACCTAGCATAGAGTCTCAAAAGCTACGTGAATGTTACCTAGGTTTTGTTTTCCCTGTGACAGTACCCTTCTCTACTGTGCTCACTGTTGTATTAAGCAATATGTTAAACTTAGAAAAAAACAAAAAAAATAGGAGGAGGACTTTGATGAGATACCATTCAGGAACATGTATAAAAATCTGGAAAGAAGGAAGGGTTCTACTGCTAACACAGAATGACAAATTTTGAGGTCCTTACCCATTGTAATATTGTGGCCTTACCGTGACTGAACTATATATTCCTACCTGAGACTCCTTTGTAGAATTGTGTTAATAAAGCATTGAGTAATGGGGTTTCTCCTTGCTTCACCCATTTCCAGTGCATTGCAATGCATGTGTATTTTGTGTGTAAATGTTTTGTACTGCAAAAGTATAGTCTTGACTTGTTCTTGTCTCCCAAATTTAGGAGGCAATTCCCACTGACTTTTTTGTCGAGCCACTAAATAATGTGAGAAATTGAAGCAGTTTCTTCCTCCTTATACAATCTTTCCATCAGCTGGTTGTAGACTTCTGATGTATTGCTGAGAGTTACCAGTACAGTTTATGTCATAAGTAGAGTGTATATGTACTATTGTATCTCCATATGTCTGTTCAAATTTATTTCCAAATTGTAACCATAACTGGGTTTAGTTGCAAAGAATATGCATGATGTTACCCCTATTTTTGTGAACACCTTCTAATAAATGTAAAGTCCCATGCCTGGTTTAAAAAAATCAACGTCAATATATATTGTCTGTTCTGACCGATATCAGAAGGGTAGCTTTATGATTATAAAATATTTGGACACAGACCACAACTGTAAGAAAATAAATGGTCACAAATAATTCCCTTTTTGAATCAGCATCATAAAAAGTTATAAATTCTAGGAATCACATTTATATTTTCTAAGAAGTTACGTATTTTAAAAATACTTCTCTGACTTACGAAAACAGAATTGATCCCAGACTTTGAGGTAATAGCGGCATCTTTTTTTTAAATCACCTAAATCAAACTGAATTTCATTAGTAATCTCTAGACTGTCCATTTCCCAATGATTATCCTGTCATTCTGCATATCATGAGTTACACGCAGCAGTGTTCCTTGCCAGGAAGCAGTGCTAACAGGGAAATGAAGAAAAAAATAACTGTGGTGTTAGCATGTCTGAGGGAGAAGACGAGCAACACAACGTTAACTTAAAACTGCCTCAGAAATCTGACTTCTTGTAGATCTGATGATAGTTTATGAACTCTAGGTAAAGCACAGTCACCGTCTGATGACAGACGTCCTTTCAGCAGTTCTGGGTTCCTTTGGGTGAAGAGCCTGGCTTGGGCCAGGAGACTGGCATCGAGGTATGGAAACTTCACCCTCCGGTGATGCCAGCGTTTAGTTCCTACATTAGCACCTGGTAGCTCTCTGTTTGGCAGCACAGTCTGCGCTGATGATCTTCGCGTGTGTATTTCCTGAAAAGCAGACGCGTCCAAATCACTCGCAGGCATCACAGCTGACACCTTTTCTGGACTGGCGGTGGCGACTGACTCAGTGTCGCAGCTGATCAAGCCTAGAACAACGCTTTCCTCCGGGTCAAGACTAAATCGAAGTGAGGGGTAGGTCTGCACTGCAACATTGCAAACATTAAATACGTAGCGTTGCCCTCTGTAGAGTGGAATCTCAGTCTCTGTTCGGCGTGTAACCATCATCTTTGTGGCACAGCCCTCAGAGAAGCCCTCTTACTGCAGCAATCGCAACTCTCCTCTCTTGCAGGAGGAACGTACTGTGTACAGAAGCCTGTAGTTTCGAAGATGAATTCTGTGGCGAAATAGAACGCTGTAACTGTTAATAGTTTTTAATAGTTCCTAAGTATCAGCTATACTTCGATTTTTTTAACTGTTGTCCCCTTCCTGCCCTCACTGGATTGAAACCCTTCCCTGGGCTGCAAGAAGAACCGTGAGCAGTTACAGAGCCTTTCATGTCTGAGAGGCACTCTGCTTTTAGATTAGAAAGATTAATCAAAGCTGCTAACGCAAATTAATTACTGCTACAGAGAAAGCATAGTAATTATGCATAGTTTGGCATGGTTGGTGATTAGTGCATGCCTAGTTTCAGCAATATTTAGCACAATGTGAATTACAGGTAGTTCATTAGTCCAGGCCCCAGATTGTGGCTTGAGGCAAAGTTTCTCGTTCATATAAAATTCCCTCCCACCTCTTGCTGGGAGAAAACGGGTTTCACTACAGTCTTTGTTTTACCATCTGGAACAAAAAAAAAGAAAGAAAAGAAAAGAAAAGAAAAAAGCGAGCAAGATGATGCAATCGAATCTGCGTGGTGTGTCCTCCCACGCAGTGCACAGAACACTTCGCCTCTCCGCGATGCCAGAACACCTTCGTACCGCCAGGCGTGCCAAAGCCTGTCACATGCAAGCTGATGCACGCTGGTGTGCCTCACGCAGCGTTTCACGGCTGAGGCATTTTAAAGCAACCTATAACACATCTCCAAAATACTAATCAGAAAAAGTGAGGTTTTATACAAAGACCATTCACACCTCTAGTGTCCATTTTGTCTTCCTTCGTTAAGTAGAGGGTGCTTTGAATTCACACGCTGGCTCTGAATACGCAGTTATCCAATAGCTGGGGCTGCGTACGTGGTAACACAGCAGTAACCGGCGTGTCTGTGGCTGTTTGTCCTTGCTGAGCATTAGCCTAGGAACACAAGGTCTACACTTCATTTGCACCTTTTCCAGGGGAGAGGCAGCTCATGATGCCACAGGTTTCTATGCACAGCACTCCATCTTTTTTTCATCTTTCACTTATAAACCCAGATAATATGAAATCTACGGAGCTACTCATCGAGTTCAGGTCTAAGAATGAGATGGAGCCGTTTTCTGACCACTAGGCCTGAAGCGAATTCAAAACGCTGAAGCAGATTTGAAGAGATTGTAACTATGGGCAAAGTGACTAATCTAGCTTTGAAACAACCACTAACTCGCCAGTAAAATTAGTCAAAACAGAACGAAGGTACTTTGTAAACACTGTGTGTGCTTTGAGTACTTCCTACTCCACAAGAACAAAGTCAGTTCTCTGCGCCACCGTTGTCTCAATGAACGTATCACATACAGCACAGCTCCTGCTTACAGAAGCAAAGAAGTCATTGCGTATTGTCTGCGCGTTGACGTGGCTGTGGCCACTACAAATGAATTTCCGGACAACTTGTCCATCGACAGCAGCTTCCAGTGAGGTTGGGCAGGGTGCAGGGGGCTGAGTAAGTCCACCACAGCTCTCTAGTGCCTTTTCAGATCTTGTATCATGGTGCCTGTCTTGGTAACAGCACGACAGCCACGCAGGGGTTGGCAGGTCGGACACGGGATCCGTGGGAGACCTGGGCTATGCTAAAATGGCAGCGGGAGGCTAGGCAGCAGATACAGTGATGGAAAATGGCGCTAGCTGCCAATGTTCAGGACAGAATTTCCTCTTATTCCTGGACGCTCAGCTATCTTGTCCTTTGTAACCATGCAGGCACGGAGTAAGAGGCAACTGAATTAAGCTCTGCCTTGCTTCTTCCCCTGGCAAAATAAGGCTGTGCAGCAAGAGAGTGCTGCAAACGAAGCAGCATTTGCAAGTTTTGATCACTAGTAGAGTTTATTGTTCCATACCAGAAATAACTAGAAATGATTACTGACTCAGAGTAATTTAAGAAAGATGATCTAAACTGTCATGTATGCCAGCACAAATGAGTTACAGTTCTGAATGACAATAAACGTCTCCAGCATGGAAATGTTTTTACTAGACATACATTTCTAAACAAGCAATTTTTTGTCTTTTTTTAAGATGTTTTTAAAATCTCATATCAGAATTTTCAAAATAGGTACCTAAAATTAGTAGTTAGCTTTCAAAATGCATACTCAGTCATGTAAAGAAGCAGCTGAAATGGCAAAATCCTGTTTTCCCCATTTACTCTAATTCCTCATTTTCTAAGGAAGAACATTCCACCTCAAGATGATAGTTTACATTAAGTTTCATGAAACATTGATTTGCTCATCCGTAGTTAGATTCTTGCAGCTCAAAAACTAATTTAAGAAAGAATGCAAATAAAATGCAACTTTTTTAAAAAGAGAAAGAGTTCAAATAATGTCTGGAGTATCAACTGTGTTCTTTAATATAATCCAAGAAGAACAACAGAAAGACTATCCCCCTGCTTCACTTTAAGATAGCCCAGGAGTAGAAGAGAGATGTTGCACTTTTTCCCACAGATTATGTTACAAGAATTAGAAAGAGGATCCAAAAAAAAAAAAAAGGCAGACTTTTTATTTTTTCCTGGGACTGGAGTTTTGACTTGTCTTGGCAGTGGCATTGCTCAGAACTTTGCAAGGGTGGATGTGGTGTTTAAAAACTGATCCACTTCACGTTGCTTGACATTTAAGTTTCCCAGTACAGGATATATATTGTGGAGGAGTAGGTACCTGGCTTTATGGCTAAATCTTTGTTCTATAAAAGTGATGGATGATAACAGGGTAACAGAAGTGGGGTAAAATGTAAGCTAACCTGACACGACTGAGAATGGATTAATTGGGAGCTGAACTCTTTACACATAGTTTTTGTTAGCATTTGTCTCCTCCTAACCATTTTTACTTTACTCACACGTGCCTCTTTTTCTGACCAAACCCAGTCAGTCAAATTCTACTTTGGGGATTTATAAGCTCTAAGGAGTAGCTGAATTTTTGTTTCAAGGCAAGATTTTGAGTTGTTATTACTGCCTTGCGCTGATCTATGCTTCCGAACACCATGAAGACAGCTAGACTAAGCAGTAAAGAATGAAAGCTGACTGTTCATGTTCTTCTCTTGCTTTCTTAACTAAGAATGACATTTTGGTCAAAGATTATGTAGATGTTAAAAGCACCTAGAGAGGCAATACAAAAGAACTTCCGTCTATCCAGATGAGAAACAAAAAGAAAAGAAGGAATTAGTGCATATGGG